TTGCTTTCTCCTTCATTCTTTCTTTCCTGTTTCCCAAAGCTTGGGTGATCATGCTTTGTCTTTCAACCTTATTTTACTATAGTCTTCTTCATTTATCTCTCTGTTTTGTCCTGTATTCCTCTTTGATTTCCCACCTACAGGGTAAAATCACTCTACTAAGGGGAAACTAAATGCATACAAGTTCCTGGTTTATATTGGATTTTATATAACTGTAGATCCTGTTCCTATGGTTAAAGGTACCAAGATAATAGATACCACAGTTTGTCAGTTTCTAGGCAATGCTTGATGCTATTATTATTGGTAATTGCACAATTTTAACGAGGATGCCATACCCATTGTAATCAGATGTTCTCCTTTGTATGAAAACATGGTGATTGTCTGGGATTATAACTATCACCATAGTCTAGTACAAAAGGACTAGGTGCTGAGCCCAATAGCAACTTCTCATCTCCAATAAATTGGGAAGGTGGAATCTTGGGAAAGATACAAAGATCAAGAGCCAGCTACACACAGAAGACATCTCTGAGGAATAGATATTTCCTTGGGAAGCCTAGATACTTGTGATAAAGCTATCTACCATAAGAAATTTATGAGCATCAAAACAGAAAAAAAATTAAAATAAAAAAATTTACAAGATGCAGAAGACAAATGCAACCCCAGCCCTCCAGCTCACCCAGGACAACGAGATAGAGGAAATCTGAAGCCACCCACCTGAATTTTCTGAAATGATAGCAGCAAAAATTAAAAAATAAATAGATGCATGAGGCTGCAGAGAAAATCAGATGAGAAATAATTTCTCGGGCAAAAAAAAATATGATGATCAAAATGAAGGACTTGCTGAGTGAATATAGACACAGATTTAAAAAATAGAGGAGCTTGGGAGAATGATGGAAACCATGAATGCCCAACATTGGAAAGAAATAGAATCTATGATACAGATTCAAACAGATATCCAGGAGATTAAAAAGTCCATTGAAAGTATACACAATCATTTGAATCAAGGTGAAGATAGGATAACAAATCTAGAAGACAAAATTGCAGTTAGTGACTATGAAAAAAAGATTTTTGAAAATTAGCAAGGGACTATAAAAAATCAATCCAACAGCTGTAAGATGATATAAGGAACAACATAAGATTGATTGGAGTCAATGAGAAAAGAGGGGACAGTGCAAACACCCTTAAAAAAACCTGCTCACAGAAGAATTAGAAAAAAGCTTCCCAAGCATGAAAAAAAAATTGACATACAAATAAGTAAGGCATATAGAACTCCAATCAGCCATGATTAAAATAAATCTACACCAAGGGATATAATAATCAAGATTCCAGAAACTTAGCACAAGAACAGAATAATAAAAGCCCTTAGAAAAAAGAAACAAATCACTTGTAAAGGAAAGTCAAGTAGAATCACAGCAGACTTCTCAGCACAAACTTTAAGGCAAGGAAAGTTTAAAGTGAAGTATTTCCATTCCTGAAAGAAAACAATCTCTAACCCAGGTTGATGTATCCTGCAAAACTATCTTTCAAAATCAATGGAGAATTAAGATACTTTCATGACGAAGAAGCACTGAAGAAATTAATGACACCAAACGAGCTCTAAAAAATTGTCTGGAGGATATTTTAGAAAGAGATAATAAAGAGCACAATTCCAAGAACAACAATAGAAAAAAGTCACCAGGCAAGGCAAGCAATCAAACAGAGGGGAAAGTCAGGGAACCAAAAACAGAAAAATAGTATGACAAGGATAAGCCAATACATACCAGCTTTAATCATCAATGTAATGGTCTCAATTCACCAATCAAAAGAAACAGACTGGCAGAATGGATCAAGAAACAAAAGCCAACAATTTGCTGCATACCAGAAACACATTTAACTTAAAAAGGAATTCATAGACTAAAAGTCAAAGGATGGAAAACAATACTTCAAGCAGCAAGAACCCAGAAAAAAGCAGGAGTGGGTATTGGTATTCTATTTGCAGATAAAGTGACAGCCACTTTAAGAAATAAAGAGAAACAAAAAAGTTACTACAAACATAAAAGGAAGACTCAAAGAGTGAAAGATGAAAATCATAAATATATATGCACCAAATACCAATGCACCCAACTATATAAAACAAACAGTAGCAGACATGAAAAATCAAATAAGCACTAATACAATTGTGGTGGGGGACCTCAATACCCCACTGCCACAAATAGGCTGATGAACTAGACAAAGAATCAATAAAGAAATATCAGAGTTGAACCAAACTCATGAACAAATGGACTTAGTAAATGTCTAGAGAGTGTTCTACCTCACAACATCAGAATGCACATTCTTCTCAGCTGTACATGTGATGTTCTCCAAAATAGACCATATACTATCTCACAGAACATGCTTATAAATGTAAATGAGTTGAAATTATCCCATGTGTACTATCAAACCGCAATTAAATTGGAAATCAATGGCAAAATAAACTAAAAACTCCATAAATATATGGAAATTAAATAACACCCTCTTGAACAACCAATGGGTCACAGACAAAATTAAAGAATTTAGACAGTTTCTACAACTAAATTGTTATACCAATATAACATACCAGAACTTATGAGATGAAATGAAAGCAGTCCTTTGAGGGAAATACATAGCAGTGAACTCTAACACCAGGAGAGCTCAAATAAACAACCTAATATTGAACTTCAAACTTTGAGAAAAGGAAGAAAAGGTCAAGCCCAAATCTCATACAAGGGAGGAAATTATAAAGATCAGAGTAGAAATTAATTCTAATTAATTGAGACTAATAAAACAACATAATAAATGACTCGGAGAGTTGTTTCTTTGAAATATTAAATAAGATTGATAAACCCTTAGCCAAACTTATCAAAAAAATGGAAAGAGGGCCGGGGGTTTAGCTCAGTGGTTCCAGCACCTGTCGCACAAGCGCAAGGTCCTGAGTTAGATCCCCGGTAGCAAAAATAAATAAATAAATAAATAAATAAATAAAATAGAAAGAAAAGACTCAAATCCGTGTATATAAGAATGAAAAGAGTGAAATCACAGCAGATCTTGTGGAAATTCAGAAGATCATCAATACATAGGTCCAGAACCTATAGTCCATTAAGAGGGAAAACACAGAAAAAAATAGATTCCTAGATACATATGCATTACCAAACTTGAATCAAGAAGATATAAAATGCTAAATAACCCAACATAAGTCAATGAAATTTAAGATGTAGTTAAAAACCTACCAACAAAGAAAAGCCCAGTTCCTGAGAGACTCACTTCTGAATTCTACAAGAAATTTAGAGATCTAGTATCACAATCACTGAGTTGAAATTATACTATAGAGCTACTGTGACAAAAACATCATGGTACGGGCAAAAACCAGACTAAGGATCAATGGAACAGATGAGAAGATGCAAAAGCAACTCCAAACACACTCAACCACCTTATTTTTGACAAAGGGGCTGAACACCTTCACTGGAAGAAAGATAGCCTCTTTAATAAATAGTGCTGGTAAAACTGGCTTTCCACATGCTAAAGACTAAAACTAAACCCATGTCTCTCACCACACACTCTACTTAAATCAAAATGGATCAAAGATCTAAATATTAAAACAGAAACACTAAATCTGTTGGAAGAAAGAATAGGTAGAACTCTTGAAGACATAGGTATAGGCAAAGACTTTATGAACAAATGTATTTCCCTGATGGCATGGGAAATATTATAAGGAATCAATAACTGGGAGCTCATCTTATCAAAAAGCTTTTGCATAGCAAAAGAAATCATCAACAGAGGAAAAGATAACCAAGAGAGTGGGAAAAATTTTTTGCCAGTTGTTCCTCAGACAAAAGACTGATATCTAGAATATATAAAGAACTGAAAAAAATCAGACCCCCAAATTTAAAGACTTGATACAAAAATGGGCACCTGAGATGAATACAAACTTTTCAGATGAAGAGGTACAAACAGCAAATAAATATATGAAAAAATGTCCAACATCACTGGTCATTCGAGAGATGCAGGTGAGATTCCATCTTGCTCCAGAAAGAATGTCTGTTATCAAGAAATCAACCAATAACAAATGCTGGCGAGGCCATGGTTAAAAAAAGAACACTTCTGCACTGTTGGTGGGTATGTAGACTTTTGCAACCACTGTAGGAATAAGTGTGGAGATTCCTCAAAAAATTAGGACTAGAGGTTCTATTTGACCTAACTATTCTCCTTCTTGGCATCTTCCTGAAAGAGTTAAAAACATCACACTATGGTGATATATGTACAGCCATGTCCAAAGCAGCACAGTTTGTAACAGATAAATCTTGTAAATTGCCTAAATGTCCATCAACCAATGAATGGATAAAGAAGATTTGTTTTTTTTATTAATTCAATGGACTACTACTCAGCCATAAGGAAGAGCAAACTTGAGACATTTATAGTCAAATGGAAGCACCTAGAGATCTTACTCTTAAGTGAAATAAATTGTATACACGTGTAAATATCACACTTTTTCTCTAGTGTGAGAAACTGAAAGTGCAAAAAAGACCAAAATGTATAATAGATAACGTAAATTAAAGAGAAAGTTCAAATGGGAAGGGGCACTCAGGAGGGAGGAGGGGGAAAGGAAGAAAGGGAAAAGGGGAAACATGAGAAAAGAAAGATAAAATAACAACAAAGCTTTTGGAACTAAGGAGGGGAAGCAGAGTTGAAGGGAGTGGAGGGGAATGGGAAAAATAAATATTAAACTATATCATTTGTGGTATAAATTCCTTATGATGAATGTGATTACTATGTATATATAAATTGTACCAACACACTTAATTTTAAAAATTGTATAACTCCCAAATGTTACTAAATCTTGTTTTGTACTTATAGGCATGCATTATAAATTTAATCTCTATGAATAAACTCATGAGTTGATAAGTTACATATGAAAGTATAAGTAACTTCATTAATTAAAATAAAAATGTTCGTAGGTTTAGCACTAATTTTAGAAAATAATGTTTTACCAAAATATAAATAATAGTTACCTTTACAAATGCAACGATCTTCAAGGAGATTGTTGCTAAATATAGAGAGTTCATCACAAAATCCATTAGATTCCACCAATCATGGATGTAATCCTGAAGTCCGCCATCCCACATCTGCTTAATTTCTCCCCATATAAAACCTGCAATGTGGAAAGATTCATTGTCAGTGTTATATTCAATGAAATCACTAAAAATAAATATATAATTTAAGAATTATAGGTTGTGAAATTGCAAGATGCCATGTATTTACATTATATAAAATATCTATTTTTATAGGTAATAATACTGGGTCTTCACATTTTTAAGACTTTTGGGACGTAAGCCAATTCTAGAAGATGCCGTTAGGTCAGTCTCCCTTTCTTTTATTATTTGAAAAACTTTTTAAAAGCACAGTGCTTTAACTAAACTGTAATTCCTCTACAACTGTAATTTTTCCCACGAAAATGTCATAACATTTTCTGATAAACAAATACTTTGAAATATATTTTTCTTCCAAGTCAAAAATGACTCACATTTTCATGAAAAGCAACATATTTAGCAAATAACTTTTTATTTATTTATTTATTTATTTATTTATTTATTTATTTATGTATGTATGTATGTTTTGGAGGCAGGGTCTCACTATGTAGTTCAGACTGGCCTTGATCTCACAGTGATCCTCCTGGCTCAGCCTCCCGAATGCTGGGATTACAGGCGTGCTCCACCATGATACCATGCTCGGTCCAATAACTTGTTTTAGGAAATTAATCAAGGTACTTTTTTGTGCTTTTTAAAACAATTATCACCTTCAGAAATCTGATTTCAGTTTAGGGAAAGGATGGTTACAACATTCACAAAAAATTATTAAAATACTACTTATCTAGCAGTAATTTCCAAGCTTTACTCAGAGAAAATATAAATTCCTTTCCTTTATTATGGTTATATTTAAATAAAAAATACTTTTTAAAACTTTCTATGAAAGACTTATAAAACATCACTATAAATCATTATTTTATTTCCAAATCTTACTAAAACATATTACACCATTTTAAAGCCTAATAGTGAGAAACACATTAAAGGCCTTAGTATCCAAATACTAAAAAGATAAATATGATATTATAGTTATTAATACAAGAAAACCATAAGATATCTTTAAGATAATAATTTGAAAATAAAATGCCTCACAGTGAGTTTGATAACTGCTGAGAATGTAGAAAGTTGGAAAGAGTACTACCCCTACTAAAAGCAAGAAAGCAAGAAAAAGTCAGGTTACCTATACAAAGCATAAATTTTCATGCATTCATAGGAAAGGTAAGAAATCAAGGGGACTGAACTTCAAAGAAATGCATGTTCTTACCAACAAAAACATGCTGCAAGCCTTTAACTCTGCACAGGGGCAAAAGACATGGCACCATACCAGAGAGTTAGAAAACTCAGGGACATTTCTTAAACTTCAAAATGCTGAGTGTGAGTTGGCCCAAGAGGACAGAAGCCTGGGAGGCACAGACTAATGAGAGCTTCCGTCAAGTTCTATGCCACAGGCCCCCGTTCACTGCAAGAGCAAAGAAGTTACTTCTGTAACAGGAAAGACACACAACCATATTCTGACTCCTCCTTCATAAGGAGCAAAACATGCAAAAGCAAGAAACATTCTTAGGCCTTAGGTTTGGACCCATACCATTACTCCTGTCCTACCTTTTGAGGAGGGGCAAGAACTCTGAGTTGTATATGACCTTCAAAGTCTGACTGCTGTGGAAAGCTGATATGGACCACTGAGAAATCTCCATCCCTAATGCCCAGACACAGAACTGCCTAGTCTGATCTTTCATCAAGGAAATAAAGAATCTTTCTCTTCCCGTCCCCTGTCCAGGTCAACAAATAGTAGATAACAAGCAGATTCTGACAACAGCATATATAGAGACCATCACTCTGAGACCCAGGTGCATAGGTAAGGTCAAAAATTGTGGGTGAAGCAGGAACACAGAATAAACCTTTTGTATCAAAGACAGAAATGTGTGGCATAATGACATTGACTACAATTAGAACAAAACTCAAACTCAGCTCAACTCCTGACTATATTGCCTTGAACTCCTTCAGCTATGTTTTAATTGAAGAGTCATATACATTTTCAGGGATCATTTGCATGTACTTCTGTTACTAGTCCTCCTCGTAGTTGGAACACATAACCCTGTAATACCTACGTGTGTAGCTGGATATGTGTGTAAACACACACTCTACAGCATGATGCACCATATTTGGTCAAAACAAAAGATGAAGAAAAAAAGAAAATAAAAAGATATACAAAAGGAAACTGACATCAAACATTTGGTTAAAAACTACCCTCTACAGAACAAAATGGAACGACATCTTTAAAGGACTGCAATAAAAAAAAAATCAACAAAGAATTTACATGTAGCACAAATAGCTGTAATAATGAGGGTGTACTAAAGTTTATTTTTCAAACAAACTCTTAAGCAGTTTATTATTAACAGATTCATTTACTAGAAATATTAAAGGATTTTTAGGCAGAAGATCTATGATATTAAAAGAAACATTTATGAAAGGAAATAAAGATATATCTCAAAAAAATCATAAAAATGAAAAAAGAAATCTTGTTTTAAATGTCTTTAATTTTCTAAAGCAAAGTAGTATCAATGGATTGTGATGTGTAAAATATGTTAAAGTTAAGTGTATTATCACAAAAGATGAAAGAGGAATTAGAAGCCTCCTATCATAAAGTTCTAGTTCTTTCTAACAGTCAATACAATTGATGAAAATCTAGCCAGAATAATAAAAAAAGAGAAGTTATAAGTTACTAGTACCAAAAATATAAAAGGAAAATCAATATAGATCTTGTAGACACACTAACAATATCAAGTGACTAGAATGAGTAACGATGCTGATTAAATTCCACAAATTAAATGAATTAGACATTTTTCTTTGAGATAAAAATGTCCAAGATCACTCAAGATGACAGAATAACTAGTATGATCTTATATGAAAGTAAATGAGTTTATAATTACCCTCCAACAAAGAAAATTTCAAGTTTAGTTGGCTTCATAATTTTACCAAGCATTGAAGAAAAAAATAATCTTAATGTTAATTGAACCCTTAAAAAGTACCATAGGGAGAAACATTAAAGAGACAATTATCATTTCAATTTAAAAAATTAGACAAAGATATTAGTAGTCAAACTAAACCACAGTATGAATGTTCAGAAAATTCTCAACAAATATTAGTGAATTAAATGTGAAAATATAAAATAAGTTTTAGAAATAAGATGATAATAAAACATAACCAAATGCTGTTTTGCCAGGAAATGTAAGGTTATTTCACATTTAAGAATCAATGTAATTCATTTCATGAACAGATTACTGAGAAATGTACAATCATTCTAATAGATCCAGAATATCTGAGAAAATTTAGAATCTATCCATGACAAAAACTTTCAGCAAAGTTGAGCAGAAAGGATATTTGTCAATTTAATAAAGGAAACTGATAAAAATCTGCAACTAACATCATTGGTATTTAGTCTGTTAAGGTCCTAAGAATAAATAAATCAAGCTTTGCAATTAATGAATGACATAACTGTGTTCCAAAAGAACTATTTAGAAAAATTGCCTTAGGGCCAGATACAGTCTGTTGGGTCACATTTTGTTGACCCCTGTGGAGGTGTTTGCATGATTGTTTTTGTCAATAGTTTATATTTCTGCAAATCTTGCCCCCAAACAGTATTCCTATAACATAATTGAATGCAGGAATAGTGATAAGATTAATATTGAGGAAGGAGTATATGAATAGATAAAGATAGTGAATTGATTGTAATATACTGATTACAGGTATGTGTTATTACATATTTCTTTTATATTTTCTATACATTTGAAATTTTTCTTAACAAAGCTTTGGAAGAAATAACAGAGTAGTAGACATGAAGGTCCATTATTAGTAAAAAGTAGCAATGGCTATTTAAATGATCTATAAAATTTAAATTTTAAATTTTATGTTACACTCAAATTTATAACTCAGGAGAGATTAAACCCAGGCTGGAGGAGCAGTGCCTCACACCCACATGAGAAAGCCAACCCTGAGTGCTGCCCAACCCTGGTATAAGAGGGCTTACCAAAGCATGAGGAGCAGTGCCCCTCACCCACATAACAGAGCCCAACTGAGCCAGAAGAGTAACGCCCACTCCTCACATGTGGAAGCCTACTCAGGCTAGAAGAGGACACTCTTCCCCCAGGGGAGCTCAGCATGGGGCAGGGGAGGCAAAGTCTAACCAATCTACCTGATCTTGAACCAGGATGACATCTGAGGGAGAAGAGAGCAACCAGACCCCATGAGTGTTGACATTAAGTACAATAGCCCACTGGAATCCCCATCTTGCAGCCTACAAACATTAGGGAGTAAAGGGCTTATCACATTCTCCATCTAACTTGCATGCTAACCTCAGTCTGGGGAAAATGAACAGAGGGCTGTCTGGTGCAAGAAAAGCACTTCAAAGACCAATAGGCCTTAAGCTAAGGCATAGAAAAATGTGACTGACTGGATCTCAAGATGGCAAATAATGGAAACCACGCATGCAATAACACAGTAATTATTTTCTTGACTCAATATTTTTTAATTTTTCTTTGTCTTATTTTTCTATTTCCTTCATTAGGTTTTCAGGAGGCGTGAAGTTTTTCTCCAGCTTTATTTCTCTCTTTAGCTTTTTTTCTCTCCTGTTATCTTTTTCCAATTTCTTCATTCTTATCTTTCTTTAATTTGCTATTTTTCCATTTATTTCTTATTATTGTTCATTCTTTCCAGCAATTATTCTGTCACTATTAATTTCTTTTACTCCTCAACAGACCCTCTGTCTTACTTTCCCTCCTCCTTCTCATATCCTATTGATTAATTTTGCAAATTTTGCTCTTTTTATTTTCCTATTCTCCACCCTCTCTACCTTCACTAGCATAACTACTAAACTTTATGAATCTCTACATAAACAAATAGCAGGCTATTGCTTTTGAATACTGTGCTATTCTTAGCAGAGTTAAAATTTTTCCATTTAGTGGATATTTACTTTAGGTCAATATTTGGTTAATATTTGGCTTATATTAGTGTTTATACTATAAATATAGATCCATTTTATATGAATAAATGTGGTACTTTATTGGTTCTT